GTCTCTATGCTATTGATATGAGACAATGAGTGGACACTTACTACCAGAACTTGAGGTCATAATCAGTCCATTCCATACATTTGGACAACTTTTCCAATTCGTTTCGACAGTTTTGCTTCACCTGACGGTAAAAGTCGAGACCACAAGAGGTGACGGCCTTCCCCTCCGGCACACACTTTCGCGGATCCCTCTCTTCGATGCGACATAACATGAATTCCTGTGTCGACCGAAAGCATAGGTCATTATAATCACCGCATAATCACTGGTCAACAGCTGATCCCAAACTCATTGGTCGCAAACCTTTGAAACTTTATCGCAATATTTGCCGAAATGCATGGCCGACGCCTTCATCACCGGATGTGATATATTGATCTCCTGGACGTCGAGCTCTTCATAGGTGGGCAGTTGGACATCATCTGTGATGGGCATCACTTCCGGGACCCGTTTGGGTGACAATTACTGTTCAATTGATAAGAAATGGTTTCGTAAATACAATACAAAACATAAACATTACATTCAAGTGATGTCTTCACTGCACTACTCATACACTCACATACATTACGTCCGATTCTCATACTATCCATACATTTCACAGAATATTCTGTAGGTTTTGATTGTTTTTGTTTTCATTAAACTTATTGTTATTTGATAAACATTTTAAATTATATTATATTTTATTATAGTCTAATATTAATTATATACTGTATTTATTCATATGTTTTGGTTAATCAAACACTATTTAAGTGTCTATAAATAGTTAATATTTCCAATATTTGTTTATTATTCATGAGTAGTAGAGTGTTAAGTAAGTAAATGAGGTAAATCTAAATCCGGTCTAAATCAGGTGTAAATAGGGTTAAGTTAATCATATCTTAAGATCGGATTAACACCCGGATCAATTGTATTAAAACTACTACACTAGGTGTAAATCATCAAAATAAATAAACTAAAAATTTGACCCAAATATCGAGACCAATATTTTTGTAAAAACAAAGTTATTGAGAAACTGACCATACTGTATCTTGTCGTGTTTTAAATTATAACAAATTTAAAACAGTAATTGATTATTTTTAAATTGTATTTATTTATTTATTTATTATAAATATTTACCATAATTTATAACAAAGTAAGTAAATGTTTATTTAAATATTTTAACTTTATTAAATTAATAAATTATTAACAAAATAGATGTATTGTAAAGTGATAATGAATCAAATAGATAAATTGGCTAGCTATATATGGAAATTTAAATATATAGTAAATATACTGTATAGTGCTTATACCATATTTTACCATGATAATATCATATATTATATTGGAGTATAGAATACTAACGTAAAATATTTTAATAATATTAAACTAAATAATGATTTTTGATATGTATGAAAGCCGTTTTGCAAACGCTTGTATTAAATAATGTCACATTTTTATTGTAGGAAAATTTATAGAAATCTAAATTTAAAGTTCATTTGATTGATATATTATATGTTATACACGTTATACCACTTTATAGCACATCAAATGTATAACACGTTAAACACAAATGTGTTATAAAGGAAATTATGTGTTAAATGTAATCATACAGTATGTGTATTCTGTCATAAAAAATAACATATAAAGCACTGTAATCATCATTGAATTGCCTTTTGAGTGATTGTCATAAAATATTATTATTATTATTAAAAATTTTAATTTCACTAAAATGTGACTTTGAAGACGAAGAGATACGCTATCTGTTAATATAAAGAAAATATTTATTGATTTAATACACAGTATGTCATAACTCGGAGTTTGCTCATTGAAGAGCACCGGTAAACACTATATACTCTAATTTATTGCAAATAAAGTATTTCATTAAATCGTGATATTTTTCTTATAATTGTTTATTTAAATGAGAATTTGTTTTCGCAAATAATGATAATTACTATAAATATGAGATTAATTTGAAAAAACTTTCCAATCGCTAATGAATTTGTATTTTATTTATGAAATATCGTAGGAATAATTGATGGCAATAATTATATAGTAAATGACTCTGTTCACTTTGGTTGCCTGGATATTGGTTGTGAAAAATTTCCATTCATTCGCAATTCATTTGTTGAATGTTGTCTTAAATTTCAAGCATTGTCTCGATTACATAATATTCATTAATATTCATCTCATTAATCGTCTCATTGTTTTACTGAAACACATTCCCAATGCAATCGCTTTCGTTATCACCGGTTATAACAGTTTTAAACGACAGTTTGACTGCAAATTACAATACAAACGATGGAAGACACTTGAATGGCGGTGACATCAGTGTTGTAGTCATCTATTTCGCACTCGTATTGGCCACCGGCTTCTATGTGAGTGTTTATTCATCATTTATATTAACCATAAATTTTATTATAACATGTAATATAATAACAGATATTATGTTTTGTTTATTAACATTCAATAAGTTAACATTATTTTTAATAATCAATTATTATAAAATTTTTATAACAATTAATAAATACTAAAAAGGCATTTTCTCCAATTTATAACAAAATTTATCTTTTTAATTTCAGTTATGAATAAGCCTAGAAAACATAGAATGCATATAACAATCATAATTCTTATTATTTACATTCAATACATTATTTTCATACAATATATTTCCATTGATTAATATTTTGTATATAAAAATTTACAAGGTAGTATTACCACAAATTTACTGAATTTTAATATTATTAATGATTAAAAATTGTATTATTGATTGAAAGTAAATAAATATTTAAATATTTGTATATCAACAATGTATAATAGAAACAGATACATTTTAGACCTTTCTATTCAAATACTAAACTAGTTAGTTTAAAGGAGATTATTTTGTTATTAATTGATTTATATTAAATATTCTATAAAAATGTAATTTAATTAATATAAATAAATTATTAATAATTAAATATTAAGTGTCAAAAGAATGTTAGTATAGGGGTTTGACTGTATAAGTGATTTGTTACTAAATTCAGATAATATTTGCACAATTTTGCGAAAACAGAGTATATATCAAAGCAATTAATAACAAATTACTCGAGTTTTTAAACATATTTAATGCAACAAAAAACCTTCAAATAATATTTTAACTTCTCGTCTGGTATCACAAGAATCTAAACTTACCTTCAGTTTTGTATTACAAGCACTAAAATGAGAGTAGAATAACATGATCTCAAATCAAGGATAGCGACAGATCAAGAGGTTTAAGGATAGAGATATTTCTTTTAAATGTGCTTTTTGTTCACTTTTTGTTCAATTCATGAACGTTTGAAATTACATTGAATTCCGTTTATGAGATTTCCGTTCATTTTTTAAATTACTTTTTCTTTTATGTAAACTATTATTAGTTATAACTCATAACTCTTACAACAGGTTAGGACTCATCTCAAGGACTGCTAATTAGTAGTTGCAAAACCTGTTACAAACAAAATATCCATTATGTTATATATTTGTTACCTTATATTATTTTAAGTAAAACACATTGTTTTTAAGCTATCAAACCGTGATAGAAAAGAAAAGAGTTGACTTTCACTTTCATTAAGTTTATATCAACAGAAATAAATAATAAATACAAAGTTCACTTAAATATTTTTTTAATTTTACAAGATAAATGTTCAAACATTAGCACAATTTATTAGATTTATCAAATACTGATATGATTTTGTAGTTTATATATTTTTAATTCAAATCAAGTCCTATTTTGAGATATTATTAATTCATTAAATGCATAATTTAGTCAATCAATTATAAAGTTATTAAAAACATTATTTATATAATATTTATTNCACAATTTATTAGATTTATCAAATACTGATATGATTTTGTAGTTTATATATTTTTAATTCAAATCAAGTCCTATTTTGAGATATTATTAATTCATTAAATGCATAATTTAGTCAATCAATTATAAAGTTATTAAAAACATTATTTATATAATATTTATTACTGAATTATAATATATGGGTTATATTCACGATTCTTACAATTGTTAGATGAATTTGAGCTATGGAAGGGACAAACATTAAGCAAATAGCACATTGGTAGAAAGTGAATAAACAATAAAACTATTGATTAAATCAAATTAAATAACAAAATAAAAGTTTTAAATAATAAAAGCAATTCATTGGTTTGCAGGCTATGTATAAATCCAATAGAGGAACTATAAGCGGATATTTTCTCGCCGGAAGATATATGGTTTGGCTTCCGGTTTGTATACATTTTTCATATGATAATCGATAGCATCTAACATTAAAAGATTATTTAAAATTGTCAATTGATCCATAGGTGGGCGCATCAGTGTTTGCATCAAATATAGGATCTGAGCATTTTATTGGATTAGCCGGGTCAGGTAAATATCATATCATAATAGCAAATACTACACTCATTCATAAAATATTATAATATTTATCACTTTAAATCCCCGGCCATTCCCCGCGTCTAATATAAGACTTTTAATGGCGAAACACAACCATTATAACAAATGTTTGTCTTTTTCTATAAAAATATAAAACTTATAAAATTAAACATGATTGAAATTGATAAAAATGAAATGCTTTAACAATCAAATAACCATTTTAATTATAAATAGGAAAGACATTAGAAGTTATTTGAAAGTTTTTAATCTGGATTTTTGTCTAACAGGAGCTGCTTCTGGGTTAGGAGTCGGAGCTTTTGAGTTCAATGTAAGCTTTTCAGAGATGTTTTGTATCAAACGTTTAATGTTGTACTAAAATAATAGGCATTAATTATACTCCAAATCACTGGTTGGATATTTTTACCAGTTTTCATAGCGAGTAAAGTAAGAATTTTGAAATTTTTAATAAAACTTTTAAATTCATTAATTATATAATACACACAAATAGGTGTGTACTTTACCCGAGTATATGTCTAAACGATTTGGTGGCAGAAGAATACGAACTTATTTAGCCATCCTATCGATGCTTTTGTATATCTTTACAAAAATATCCGTATGTTTTGAACAATTGTATAATTAATGTTAAAAAATAATAATTTCAATGTAAATACAAAAATTGTAGGTTAATCTGTATTCGGGCGGTATATTCATTCAGCAGGCGTTGGGTTGGGATCTGTATTTCAGTGTGATTTTGTTATTAGTGATTACATCTATCTGTACAGTCACTGGTATGTTATAGATTGACAATTAATTGTAATCAGTATTAAGTTTTGCATTAAATATTTTCAGGCGGACTCACAGCAGTTATATATACGGATACTTTTCAATGTCTTATTATGATTGTCGGCTCTTCTGTGGTCGCAGTAATGAGTAAGTGATTTGCAATCATATTATTATATTCGGTTCTTTAAACTTAATTTTTGTATTTCTTGCTCTGAATTTTCAATAATTTTTAAATAAGTAAACATTTATTTATATGAATATATAGAGAATTTATATTATTAGCATGTGCATGTACCTGCATGTTAAGTAATAATTTAATGGACAAAGAATCACATCATAAAGCGAAATATGAATACTGAATTTATAATAAATTCGTATATATTTAAAACTAATAATTGCCAATTCATTAATAAATTCATTTAATGATTGTTTGATATTTTTCAACCATTTGTGAACAAAATTATAAGAATTTGAACGGCAAATGTGATTTATTTATTATTTTATACAAAAACTTGTCAGTGTGCATTTATAAACTAATATAGCATGATAGAATTCTGAAAATACATATTGATATAAACGTTTATGACATACAAATTGTCATTTTATAGGTATTATAGAAGTGGGAGGTTTGGGTGGTTTGAGAGATAAATATTTAAAAGCGATTCCGGCATCGATTCCGTCCCATAAGTACGAGTGTGCGATCCCTAAAGAGCACTCTTTCCAAATGCTCAGACCATTGGACGATCCGGACATGCCTTGGCTCGGCTTCATTCTCGGACAAACACCCGCTTCTATTTGGTATTATATAAACACAAACAGCAGTCAAGTATTCACTACATTATCATTGAATACAACAATCCAGGTATTGGTGCGCCGACCAAATGATGGTCCAAAGGCTATTGGCGGCCAAATCGTTATCCCACGCACAGGGAGGCACTCTCTTTGCGGGATTTCTTAAGATATTTCCATTATTTTTGATAATAATTCCCGGAATGATTAGTCGGGTATTGTATACCGAAGAGGTTGCCTGCGTTGACCCAAACAAGTGTATGCAATACTGCAATAGTCCGGTCAGTTGTTACAATACAGCGTATCC